GTAGTATGGTGTGTTGCAGAGTTGTAGTACTATAGTACTAGTGGTGGATCGGTTAATGAGGTTAATCGTTAATTATAATCTAGCCACTAGGAAAATGCTGCGTCACTGCTGCGGCAACTACTGCGATGCTGCTAACTTCTACTTTGACCTTCCAGCGTCTTCCAAACGAGCTACCATTGGAGTCGAACGTGCGTCGGTCTCTTCATGCATTCACACTCTTGCCGCTTCGTCATATCCGAGTCTGGGGTTCCAGGTCACTTCCTCGACCCCAGCAATCCGTTATTTCGGGCTTTGACGTGGCAAGGGGATGAGGGAAGAAGGCATAGACGAGGAGAGAATCATCAGAGAGGCCTTCCCAGGTTTTGGGCAGGGACAAGGACAAAACCGTCGATCGACGGATCGGCCTGTGACCAGGTGCAATCATTTGGCGCTTGGAGTCTGGAACTACCGCACCCATTTGCAATGTAGTGAGTTTTATCTTATCATTCCTTCAGCTTTCTACATTCTCATGCTAACAGACTGGGTGATTGTATTGTATATTCTCGCCTGAACAGCATGCATGTTGGCGCTAATTACTCATATCCAGACGAGTCACTCGTGGTGAACCATGTCTGCCAATCCATATGTTTTAGCTACTTACAAGCTACTCATGCACTACATGTGCAATGCAAATTATGATGCAAAACCCACTGAAGAGTCTGCATTATAGCATGAGTTACCACTGCCACAAGCTTCAATTTCCAGTAAGTAAGCTACTGTCGCAGGCACACTCCATATAAGGAAATAGGTGCTGCAACAAGTTGCGGTCACTGAAATTTGAAACGCCAACCCCTTGCTTCAGCCCCTACGTAGGTGTAAGTAGGTCAAGACTGTCGTCCCTTAACCGTTACGCCAAAAGGCAGTGATAATGAAAGCTCATGTTTCATTATCTCGGACAGTATTTATGCTGATTATGGGAACTCAGGTAAGCCACCGGGCTTACAGTAGGATACAACATCAAGTATTGCTGTAATTTAACGATCAGCGCACTGGCAGCACCTTAGAGGCGAATACCGACTCCTCTGGAGATGGCAGCACACAGGCGAAGGAGGAATTCATTCTAAAACTCGCATGGACAATACTCGTGAAACTGACAGATAGGGCTTCCATCCCATCCCAACCACCTTGGAGACTGCTAATTAGATTATGAAAATGAGCTCTAGGTATGCTTCCTGCCTTCCTAAACATCCCTAAGTTAGCATTCGCTGTAGCGCGGGCCAGATTTCGGCGACAGCGGCAGTGTGGCTGCTAGTGCCAATGACCACCTCATCTCTAGTAGTTAGTAACGCGTGCCGTGACCTCGAAAGTGACAGCAAAAAAATTCTCATGGAGACCTAAAACGCGAAGGAACAGTGCACACGCGTCGGAACTGTAGTATCCCTGCTATCCCTGACAGATCATGTAGTGAGCAGGAACTCGAGAGTTGGTTAGCTCGTCAACCACCTTGGTCACTCGATTATCAGCAAGTTCACTTAAATGATTGTCGTCATATCCTAAGGGGTGTAATCGATAGCAAGCAAGCACGGAAGCAGCTAGTGTAAATGCTGTATGATAACGCCCGAAGTGAGTGTAGATAGTACGCCCTTAACTTTATGGCTGGTTTGGAGGTCACTGGAAGGTAGAAGTAGTGAGCAGCAGGCGTAGTTGATGCGCACTCACCGTTTGGCAGCAGCGGTCGGGGTAGTAGGTACTCTTCGGCGGTCTTCGCGTAGTCCAGGGTCAGACCACCCGCGCCTGGATCTCCGTAACAACTTCCGCTGATGGATACTGCATTTGTTGACCCACTGGGCAAATTGACGATGCATTAGACGTGAAACCCTGGCAGGAAAGGCGGTTAGTCTGCGCGAACTGATACCCATCGTCCTGGCGTATAGCCGCTGTGGATAGGACGGGACTCAGGCAGCAGTTTTCACGAGCAACCTCGGTTCTTCCACCAGTGTCTGTTTGATCCTGCTTGATCCTGCTTGATCACGCGTGGCTATGAATCATGATAATGGGGGAATAGGATCAAGGATCGTGAGTGTTGAAACGTTGATGGTTAAACTAACCGAGTGCGGGGCTATTAGCTAAGGTCCTGTAAGGAGCTGCCCCCTATGTTTAACAACTCCGAAGAACACAAGTGTTTCGAAGGTTGGATCTAAACCTCGAATGGCTCTCATCAAATGATTTCAGTAACCATCAAGTGAAGCGAGAAAAGATGCGAGCCAACTGCAAGTGTGTATGCATGTATCGCTCAAACGGTTGTCCCGCAAATTTGGCCAGCTCGCAAGTAATCAAAATTGGATGACTGTGAGTACAGATCTAAGGCTACGCAGCATCAACTTGAACGCTCTCGCCCGTCTGCGCGACTTGCTGCACGACCTCGCTGACACCTGAACCGCTATTGCGCTTCTGTGCGCTAGTAACCACCTCCAGCACGCTCGCTAGCCCCGCCTTCCACGCAACAAGACGCTTCTCCAGTGCCTCCCATTGCTCTCGCTCGAACGTGCGCGCTGACGAGCGGTAAACGTGTAGGGATTGGGTAGTCTGCGAGAGCTTTCCCGAAAGAAGACCGGTACGGATTACTGTAGAACACTATTCAAGATGATGCGAAACGACGGGATGTCAAGGGACATACCATCAATCGCCCACTTCTCTACTTGGCTCAATTCAATTTGAAGTGTTGACGCGATCTCTGAATACGGCAGATCGTGCCCGACGTGTGTAAAACCCAGTGACGCAAATGACAGAAGTCGAATCTTCCGCTCCAGCTGTGACGGGTCAAGTTCTGCAAGCAGAGATGCATAGATCAAGTATGGTGATATCATCTATAATGAGTTGACCCACCATATTTTTCGGGAACACTAGGATGACTTTCGAGCCATGAACGGAATTCTGGTAGGCCGCCATTCAAAAATACCTGGAGAAGCGAAAAAAGCTCGTGATCTTTTGCTGCTACAACAACATCCAGCTTGAACAATGGATCCAAGTCAAACAAGGAGGGTAAGCGCAGTGCTAAGGCTATGGCATCGATAGCTGCGGATTGACCATCGTGCGACGTTGGCAATGAAGAAAGATAGGAAAGCGTGTACTGATAAGCGGTTTCCCTGTAGGAACTAGATGTTACCCATAGAGCCTGCATGAGTTAAATGGAATAACGCGTACGGCTGGCTAGATTTTGTGAATGCATCGACAATGGACTTGAGGAACTGAGTGCGCTCTTCGCTAGAAATATTCCATTCTTGTAGCCACTGCTCGACATCTTTTCTGGATAGGCGCAAGGTTTCGAGTTGTCCATTTGCAGCGGCGACTTCTAGTAACGCGGTGTAAATAGGTAGGCGGAGAGCTGAATTACGAGGAGTAGCGTTGAACAAATTTGATATGCTGTCAGGGACTGAGCATACAGCCTAATAAAGGTGGTGAAAGCGTAGTACTTACACGCGGTACTTCACTGATGGATGGTCGGAAGGTGATGAGGAAAGAACACTCAAGAGAGATGAGATATGAAGTTTGGTTTCTGGTGAGTCGGCCGGCCATAGTGCCAGTAGGTGGGAGAAGAGAAGATTGAAATAGCCCTCGATCTCTGCGTTTAGGAATCAGATTTAATTCACTGCTGAAAATGCTGAGGATCCCCGGAACGCACCTTGCTCTGATCCATCGCCCAAACCTTTTGTCTGATCCAGCACAAAAATCAATACACACCGTCTTCTTTCCTCATCTTTTTCAATGGGTTCGGCCCCATCATCTGTCTTGACGATATCTCGGAAAGATTGCAACAACGCAGCACGTTCATCCTCCGTGCTACTTCGAGTAGCATACTGCACTAGCTCTTGTGTCTGGCAATAGATCAAGAACAAATCTTCGTACGGAGGGTAAGCCATACCTGTTCTTCGAATGTCCCCTCTGCGAACACTGATATAGAATCTGTGGTAGCCATTTTGCTGGACGAAATTTCTGGTCGATCGCTTGCAATTCAAAGTTCAAAGCTTTTGGACAACATATACAAACAACGCCGCCTCGCAGAAGTATGCCTAATTGCTTATTGTGCAGTGCTACCGTCTATCAGCAGCTGTTCTAGATCTCTGCTTTACTCTATAGCACTTTTTTGCATTTCTCGGAAATAGGCCAGACTCTCACTATCTCAATCATTCCTATATAGTCACCAGGTGGGAGTTATGTATGAGAACTGGCGGGTACTTCTACCGATTTAGAACAATATTTCTGAATCCAGGGTCCTAGCATATGAACTCATGTGTAGTGATCTGTGACATCGTGCTGGTGGTGGGAGGTGTGGGAGAACATCAATCTAACAAGAGGATGACTTAGTGAGGTACCGGCGCCGTTCGGGACTACAACCTTGGGACACTTGCTGCCTGACGGGCAGTGCTACATATTCTGAGGACGATAAACCCCTGTAGGCTAGTGTAAGCCCCGCGGGCCGTTTTAGCTGCAATCAGGTGCTGTGCCATATAGTCAACTTATAATCAGCAAGAGACCTCATGTAGATGAATGAGATTCTCCCAGCAGTACATGCGGACTGAGGATCTTGGAGAGCATGATCATTCCGGGAATCGACACGCCACAACGAGATCCCCCACATTGACGTCTATATTCTCGTATATAATAATGCGTCAAGTTCTCGTGAGTGCAAGCCTTCTCCGACTATTGCATACTGACGAATGAGACTTGTCTCTCTATTTGGGCTCCCCCTCGCAGCTGCTCTCGCTAGTGCAGTAGCACCCTTCAAGGGCTGTCAGCACAAGGTGAAAGAGAGCATTCATGGTCCAGCCCCGCGGATGGTACAAGCATTCTCCCGCACCCAAGCACCACATGCTTGAGCTCAAGATCGCTTTGCCTCAGCCCAAGTTCCCAGAGCTCGAGCAGCACCTCTGGGAAGTGAGCGACCCCAGCCACCCGCGCTACGGGGCGCACTTGTCGAAGCAGGAAACAGACGCTCTTACGGCTCCCCATCCCGAGACCTTGGACATTGTAAACGAATGGCTTGCCTCGCACGGCCTAGGCGGAAGAAAGTCTCATTCGTTCATCTGCAAAAGATTGGGTCACTATTCGTGTTCCAGTCGGCCTCGCCGAAGAGATGCTGGATACCGTGAGCAATGAAATCTCGTTTCCAGGGATCACGGCCCATTGACTGGTGGATGTCTAGACCTACCATGTCTACAAGCACGCTGAGTCCGGAGACAACATCGTCCGGACCACGAGCTACAGTCTCCCTGAGATATTGCATGACCACGTCGATCTCATCCAGCCTACGACTATGTTCGCTCGGTTCAAGGCTTTTAAGAGCACGCTGCACTGGGCTAACCAGGTGCCTGCGGTCTCGAACTCATCTAGCGGAACGATCACAGGGCCTGCAGGCAACCAGGTTGACGCAAGTTGCAACAGCACGGTCACGGTTTCATGCTTGAGGCAGTTATATAACGCGGTGGATTACAACACGTCTGCCACGAACGGCAACGAGCTGGGTCTCACTGGTTATCTTGAGCAGTATGCCAATAACATGGATCTCCAGCAATTCTACCAGCTCGAAAACCCATCTGCTTACGGTTCAAACTATACTTTTGTTTCCGTTAATGGTATGCTGCGCTCAAGGCTTCGCCAAAACTAGTGTTACTGATTTGTTCCACAGGTGGAATGAACAACCAGAGCTATGCGGCGGCAGGTATCGAGGCTAATCTTGACACTCAGTTTGGCTTTGGACTCACCTGGCCCACTCCTGGAACGTTCTACTCCACTGGGGGCGAGCCCCCTTTCATTCCAGATATGGTGACGCCGACTGATTCAAACGAGCCTTACTCATACGTGAGTTCGAGCCACCGCGATAAACATTTTAATGTGCTGATGTCTAGGATCTCAGTGGCTCGACTATGTTCTTTCTCAGCTTACGCTTCCTCAGGCGATCTCTACCAGTTACGGTGACGATGAACAGACTGTCCCGTACACTTATGCGACTCGTGTCTGTGCCGGTATGGCAGTTCTCGGTGCTCGTGGTGTCTCTGTCATGTTCTCTTCTGGTGATGGTGGTGTTGGTGATGGTGATGCCAACCCCGCCACACAATTATGCTACTCCAATGACGGGCGCAACGTCACGAAGTTCCTGCCTGCTTTCCCTGCTTCCTGCCCATAGTGAGTGATCTGTACCATCGAGGAGCACATCGACTAAAAACCGAGTGTAGTGTGACTACTGTTGGTGGTACTGTCAATATCCCAGAGACTGCCGTATTCTTCTCGGGTGGTGGTTTCAGCAACTATGTGAGCAAGTTTGACCCCTACCAGCAGTGCCTGCTTAACACACTTCCACCAGTTCCTTCGTCCTGCATACCAGGAAGCTGCCGTCTCAGAGTACCTGGCAAAACTCGCTCCCGGCACCTATGAGGGGCTCTACAACCCGTAAGTGCAATGAACTACTCCCAAAAGTGTACCTTTATTGAGTCGCTGATTCGCAGCTACGGACGTGTAAGTTACCTTTTCAGCATGCCAGGATCTCATTGCTAACATTCATCCAGGCTTATCCCGATGTGGCTGCGCAAGGGCTGAACTTCCTTATCGTCTACCAGGGCCAGACAGGACACGTTGGCGGCACATCCTGTTCTTCACCCACATTCACCTCGTTCGTTTCCATGCTGAATGACGCACGCATCAGTGATGGCAAAACCCCTCTCGGCTTCCTCAACCCTTTCTTGTACTCAAACGGTTACACTGCGCTGAATGATATCACCGCGGGCAACAACCCAGGATGTGGAACTGAGGGCTTCAATGTATGTCTTATCTGTGCACCCTCGAGTCGTGTTATTGATATGATGTCCATGCGCAGGCCACTATTGGATGGGATCCTGGTGAGTGCACATACTAGGCAAGTCGTTTTCTATTCCGGTGTTGACAGTACCTGCAGTTACTGGCTTTGGGACACCCAATTTCGAGAAGTTGAAGGCACTGGTATTGAGCATGCCCTAATAAGACATGCTACATAACGGGGATCTATGATATATCTAAGTATACATCATGGATGTAATAAGGTCACAAACCTAGAGACTATTTACGGGAGACAGCATATACTGTTTTCCGAACCGCGGCTTATTAGCGCAGCCAATTGTGCTTTGCTCCACACCGTGTGCGCACCAGTAAGATCTAGAAATCCCACCTTAGGTTCTCATATGGGCATGGCGTTTAGTAGATGCCGGGTATGAGCCGGTATCTTACTACCTTTGCCCACCTCTGCCATTCGTCTCCAAACATTGACTTCACGACTTCCTCCTCTTGGTTGATCCTACGCACGAGGCTTGTCACAGTAATCGTTCTCTCCACCAGCCATGCCAACATAACCGCTTTCAGTCCAGGGATACCCCATACCCCTGATTGTCTAAGCCATGAAGTCCCCGATCCGTGCAACATCACTATACCGATGTACTGCACAACGACTGCTGAATAGGCTGGATGGCGTACGATCGAGTATGGTCCAGTCGTGATAAGCTGGTGCTTTTTTTGGGCAGTGAGCTCGAATGTGAAAAAACGACCAAGGGTGCGAAAACACGACCAGCGGAGGTATCCTCCCACGGCAACAACTGCTGTGCCAAGAAGGAAAGAAGGAGTAATCGGCACGTCCTGGATCCTTGAAAGAAGTGGACCGACTGTGTTTTGTATCACGCTGGGAAGTGTGTTGGGGCCTGCCATGCGAGAGGCGGCTATAGCGATTTCTGCGAGAGAAACAGCCCAGTAAACTGCCTGGGCAGAGTTCCATCAAAGGGATTGCGGACAACCCATGGAAAAGGTAGGTACCTTTGTGATCGGGAGCCCGTATTTGACGTGCTGAATGATGACCCACTCATTAAAAGTATCATGGACAACCTCATTCTTAGAGGCGACCTGGGGGGGTGTGAACGCTACGTGCACAGCGATAGCAGATGAGAGAATGAGTGGGATTTTGAGGAGTGACATGTTCATAAAGAACCCTTGACGTATTTGGTTGCTTTTATCCTACAGTCCATCTGCGAGCACAGCAGGGGCATGTGAGTCACAGAATACCCAGAAACTGAATAGAATGCGCTGTCAGTCTGATGATCAAAGTATCACTGAAGTTCCTACCCAATCTGATGAGCGCGGATATACTATATCTGCACCTTGTGACAAGTTTTCAATTCTTTTACACCTTCATTTGTCAAAACTTTGCGGGCTTCCTCGTGCGGGCCGTATCAGTATGACAGATGTCCTCGGCATACCGATTATGCCGAACGAGAATCTCAAATTTTATGGAATCAGAGATCTTGACATGGCTGAGAGTTTGACTCAACGTCCATAGTGAAAACTAGATTGTTCATATGATCACAGTATGAACAACATAGAATTGTGGGAACGAGCCTTCTCATTTTCGGAAAGTTCAACGCAAAAAGAAACCAGGGGGGTATCGCTAGGGCCGCGGAGGAGGGGACTCCTGTTGAGGTTTAGTCGCTAAGAACCCAAGGAATATGATGCTTTACTCGGTGAAGCCTATCCCTCATAGTCTATAGATGCGCACGTACGAGCAACTATGGTCTTTGATCAATAGCTAATGCATATGGTAATAAACATAAACAACACGGCACTTCTTTTCTCACCCATGACATATACACATGACGCCCAGGTACTTCCCCGACTCAGCAGTGGATCAAACGCATTATACATCACCCTTATCTCGTCATTCTTATGAACAACCCTATATTCACCGCTGCACACGTAGTAACCCCAGCAACAGCGTAACACATCAGACTCAGAGGCCCTTGCCATGAGTTGCGAGAGCCATGCCCGTTTAAATTTCGAATGAATTGCGAAAACAAACTGAGGCACTCAATTTACAGCAAGCATCAGTGTATTTACCATCAAGGCATATACTGCTCCGAGTGCTCGTACGAAGAAATCCCACAAGCAACATCGTGGCGATCGACTTCATATCATGCTATATAATCTCGCATCTCAGTTCGCTCAGCATGTTCCCGAGTTGGCAAACTTTCGTGAGGCTATCGCGCGGAACGATTCGAAGGATGATGTCGAATTCCTACGCAGCTTCTGACAATTCATTCCCACCACAAACTACGAATCTTATAAGCCATTCATAGCAAGGTCTTTTGGTACCCTTGCAAAGAGGCTGACGTCAAGAACATGTTTGCCCCTGACTGCCCTACCTCTTTGCCATGTCCAGTATGACATCTGGGAGAACAACGAAGATATCCCCAACTTATGGACCTCCCCTGCAATATCCAGCGCATCCCCCGCCAGAGGGTACAACCTTATCACCAACTTCTTTGAAATATTAGCAAGTCCTGCGAGGACGGTCAGAGCTCCAAGGCGGTGACGGTCTGCTCGATGAGCATTGGTTATCTGCGAATGGTAATGAAGCGGGACGATAGACTCAATTTGTGAGGTAAGTTCGTCTCATTACCTTCCCTTGTCCATGCTGATCTCTAGGTAACTTTTAGTCTGGTCAAAACAGATTCATATGTGGTCTCTTTAGTCAAATGCTATCGCGCTTCCTTTGTGCTGAATGCACTATTTGCGCTCGCAGACCGTCGGGTAACAGTTCGCTTCCTCTTTGCCAATATATTCGTCAATTTCTTGCAGTACGTAGAGGATGAATGGCCTCTACTTGTCGGCTGTATCGAGAAGGGTATCATCCCGGATGTCGAAGACCTCGGCCATTTGCGCACCTTTAGAGGTCATATTTTTGTTGATCATTACATTCAGCTCACTGTTCTCTCAGAAACATCTTATTCCCAAACCTCGTGCCGCCGAACTTCGCGAAATTGGGCCTCCTGGCATTCAGGGCTGGGCGGTCCTAGCAACTCAAAAGTCCCGTCATACGTGGGGCTTAGGTTCGCCACTTCCTGTGGCACGGTCCCTGTATTCTTACCATACGTCTGGTCCCCGTTGGAGTGGGGCTTGCCCATGGAGTGTCCGGGGTCCCGGCGGTGTTCCGAGGTCGTAGCCACTCGTATGCATCGACTGTAGTAGCTTAGTCATCACCTTGCCTCACCCATCGCACCTCCATTGTGTGAGGCTTGAAGTCACTTCTCTCAAGTGGGCCTCTAGGCCCACTCCACCGTACTCCGTCCATGTCCTCAATTAAGAATTTGGTGGACGATCGAACTCGAGATATTTCCAACAGGCTCCAAATGCAATGATCATGCCGATCCCGTCCAGGCTGGCATCTGTCATGAAAGCAAAGGCTGCTTGCTGGCGGATCTGGTCGTTGACATCCCGGAAAGGATTTTGGGCAGGGAGAAATCGTTTCTTTGGTTTTTCTGGCTTGTTCTCCACCAGTGGAATCACCTTTCGACGTCCGACCTTGCGGTTACCGTTGCGCTCAGTCTCCACATGCTGCAGGACCTGAGCAAAATCGGGGATAACCCAACTTTTTTGTGGCTCTTTGCGCGTGTCGATGATGTACTGATGTGATAGGACCTATTGCGGTGCAATGTTGCACGCCACTGTATGGGTGTTCGAATTGCAAAATATCCAGTCCTTAATTGCGATAACCCATACTGGGTACCACAGGATCTCCTGGGATCTTCACGTGCTGCTGCGACGGCAGCGATCAGTGCGACGACCTTCGACATCAGGTGTTGGTATATAGTTGCAGGTGCTTGATGAACAAGGGGTTGGTGGGTCTGTCGATGAACAGTTTGGTGCCGGAGCATCTTGTCCCCAATGGTGTATTGTGACTTCGCACGTTGTCTACTATCGGTCGGAAAGGAAAGGGCTAACTCAGTGCTAGACGCCAACCGTCCTGTGGATGGTCCAGAAGACGCAGTGATGGATCTACCGGAAGACGACACTGAGGCAACATGAGGAGGTAGCAAAAGTGCTGGTGCTGCCTTAGTGGCCTCTTGTTTAGCCAACGCTTCCATTGATTTGTAATAACTAGGAGAGTTGAGCACAGGTTGTGTAATCGAGGAGTATGAGGGGCGACGCGATGGTAGGAGGTGATTCGGATCGTCTGACGGTGGTGCTCCTAGAAGTGGAGCACGTGGATGCAGGGCTACTTGATCGGCAGCGCGGTATGATGCAACATCTTGAGTGTATATATATGCTGAATTTGCAGCTCGGGACAACGCAGCATCGGGAGTTCGCAGAGGTGCCGGATTCACAGTGCGGTATGATGCATAGCTCCTGGCAGGGAAGGGGAAATACATTGCTTGTCAAGCACTGTTGTGAATCGAGGGCTTGGTAATGTCACATTTCTTCCATTGGGTTCAACTCTTAACCTTGATAGCGGCCTGTGCAGTTATTTGGTATTGGTGAGACATTGTGGATCCTCAATTTAAGCATTGTCTATTGATGCCCATGCACCACCAATTTAGTGTACATCACATGAAGGATCCACACGATCTCTCACCGTTCTAACATGTTTACTACTCATGCATTGACAATATTAATTGCGCTGTGGGATGGCTGTGGCATATCATTGTGACTGTCCACAATTCGATCTGTGGCTGTGCCACATATATAACGTTGGACGCCTATTCAGTGTTGTGCACGTTTAACTTATCACGCTCAATTGGAGCCACTCGAGGGACCAATGTGACTTGACCTTACCTCTCTATCGCAAAACATGTCTTCTCTTTTATCGAAGTCGTTCGAAGCTCTCAAGGTAGATATCTTCTCCTATGATTTATGTTCCGTCTAATGGCTTCAAAAGATTACGACCCCACAACATACCGGGGATTCCATGAGACGACGCCCGTTCAAACTTGTGCGTCCGAAAAGGCAGCAAATGAACCCGTACACAGGTCTTCCTCATGTCCAATATTACGGATATGCAGTCTCTCCTGAGTGGCTTATTGAATCTGCGGAGCGACATTGCTTAGAAGCGTTACCCTCTCGAAATGCCAATGACTACGAGGGAACTACCATAACACAAGCATACGAGCTCATTCGGCATTTGGCGGGCATCTACAATCTAGCGTGCAATTTTTTTTTCAATCCCAAGGGTCACTCCGTGCCTCCCGAGTGGGTTGCCGCTATGTACGAACTCGATACCTAGTGCTGACGGCCATGACGGAGAGTGTTAAGATGCCAACAAAGGGGCTTGACCAGCCAAATGATATATCTAGGCAAATCTGAAACATAGCGCTCCACAGCGGTATACAGAAGCATGGGGGCCTCGGGCATCATGATTTGCGGACGTGGCTGCATTAAATGGAATGAGTCATGCGTGCAAGTAGGAGTGCTGTGACACTAAGTAGCTACAGACTATGGCACAGCCAGTTTACTAAGTGTGAACGGTGTCAAGCCTAGATTTCGGGAAATGCAGAAACGATCGATCAGTGATACTACTCTGATCAAGTCGACCTCACTGTGACTCGTTTCTTAGAAGCTCAAGATAACCATTCTGAGGCTCCTTCTTCATTATATGGACTTGTGGAACTACTTACCGTAGGCCTATTTGAATAGCTTACATATATCCGGGTTTGATTTTACTGAATGTCCTAGGAATCAGATAACTCAAGAACTGCCAGTCTGTGAGTAAGGTTGAGTCGTATCGCTTCCAGTGCATTCCCAATTAGTGAAACGGCCCTGCAGATGAAGACGACGCACCGCCCGCTTTCTCCACAATCGATGACGTGCTGCGTCATACCGTTCGCGTGACCGTCTCGATGTTGCTGGGGAACACAACTTTGATCTTAGCACGCCACACAAATCAATCGTAAATTCGATGTATATTCTAGGCATGACATTGCAATCGAATGTACTGTCGACTCTCGAAAATATACCGAAACTTGGGAACTCTGACACACCTAGGATCGAATTCAAGACCTCGATTGAAGTTTAGACACGAAAAACAATGATGCTTGATGTAACAGATGGGCAACAACACTTGAAAACGCGCAGCTTTCAGTATACACCAGGTATTATCAGATACTTCACTTTTCTCGCCCATGCCTCCCACTCTTCTCTGAAGGCTGAATGCATCATTTTATCTTCTCTCTTCATTCTTCTGAACAACGCTGCATTCACTACTGCACACGCGGCGCCCCCAGCGATGACAAGCGGCAACACTCCAGGTATCCGCGATACACCAGAGGCCCTTAACCACGAGTTGCGGGAGCCATGCAGAATGATGACTCCGATGCATACCATCATCATCCCTGAATAAGAAGGGT